TGGGTTGAACGATTAGTGGAGACAACATCACTCCACTCTCTGGTGCAGGTGTTCCAGCTGACGAGTCCCGAATAAAAGGAAACGCGTGTCGTGGGTTCCTGTACTAGTCATCGTGATCAGTATAAAGTCGACGAAATTTCTTGTTTGATAGCTCAAAATAGATGATGATTGAAATTGTTTCCTCAGTATACTTCTGCGTATCAATACACTTTTTGACGTCCCTCTAAAAACAGAGATTTCCACTTTCATTATTTCAATCGGTTTGGAGAGAAATCTAACACTGATCAAGTTTTTTCAAGTTTTACTTGACAATCATCCAATTTCATATCACTAACCTGACCTATAAAGTGGTTTGCATTCATTCCCTAGAGATTCAGTGAAACAACTCACTTATATAACTATAAACCCCTCTCAGTAGTCCAACAGTTGAGTATGAAATAAAATGAACTTGATTGTAGATTTAGACATTCAGAAGGATTGATACACCTGTTGGAGAAACTGGAAACTTTCTTCATTTAGCACAGAGATCTATAATATTCAGCCTCTTCCATCATTATTTCACAGAGCTCAATACTGAAGTCAGTGTAAAAGTGGATTTGTTCTCGTTTCATACCTAGAATCTACTCTCCATATAATACACCTTAATTTCTCTGTCCACTCAACTCTACAGTCTTCTAATTGATTGGATAGGTAAAGTGAGGTCATTAATATTGAGTGCTTGTCACATTGAACCAATATGAAGTTGCCAAATCTCCAAAAACCTCAAAATTGAATAAATTTTGTGGTCATTGTTGACTGGCTTCGTGAGGTTGTTGTCGAAGTTTCAATGAAAAGTCGTGACAAGTGAAGTCAAGCAATTCGGACATGAGGACAGTTATTGAAGGATGACATTGGATGGACGTCGTGCTATACGGTATACTGACAGAAGTAGGAAACATCCAACACTGGATTGCAAGCAGACGGCTGAATGATAAGGTGCTGGGATCGATGCCTGGTGGAGTGGGGTTATGGATGCGCACTGCTAAACATCCCCATACTAGGACAAAACAGCTGTCCAGTGCTCCTTAGCTTCAAATATCCCTCCAACTGATGTGAGTCCATGATGAATACTAACTAACCTGAAAGAAATGTGATGGGACGTAAGGATCGATTTTGTTAGTGGTAAATGTGATCATGGATTGATAGGTCCGATGAAATCGAATAGAACCCATTCACAACAGTTATAACTCCACCTTATTCATGAATATGCAGAAAAATTGAGACAGTTTCATTAGTAATGAGGATGTTCGTTTACTTGGTCAATTCAACTTCTTATCATCACACCATCTAAACTATTTCTACCATAGTCTGTATACACAGTTGTATATATATGCAAATTTAGGCACCACAGATAATCTGATATCAGACAACCAGACAGTCTTTATCTCAAAGCAGGTTAATACAAAATTTTGGATAGGGTAACTGAGGAGTAAATTCTGAGCAAAACAAAACAGGAAACTGACTTCAACCTGTGAAGCGAATCACTTTTACAAAGAATCAGTTGAGTTCCTCCCACTGATTATCAGTGACTTGCTCACATATTGAATTCCAGAATTTCCGAGGAAAACCAAGACCACCTATAGGGTTGACCAAGTGAAATGTGTCGGGAAATATTTGACAACGTTATTGGATGACAGTTATGTAATAGCAGAAGTTGAGAGAATTACAGAAATGTAAACCAATGAATTCCAGTTGTATAGGTGAGTAGCACTGTGTTCAGCAAATGCATAACTGTTCTGAGCTGAGACATAAACTACAATGGAACAGTTATTCAGTTTTCCCAGGTGGGATACATTATTATTATTATTTTTCGCTTGAGTTCCTACTAAAACATATGGATTCAGTAGCACGTCTCCATTCCATTGTCTTCTCTGCAGTCATTCTAACCTGCCTTTACAACTGCCCACAACCTCTCAACTCTTCCTCACACCACCTCCTCCATGTCACCCTCAACTCAGACACGGAACACGTCGCCTCCTCTCTCGATTCCACTCGAGAGCACAGCCTAGCACATGGTGTCACCACTCGGCCTTCTCAGTGTATGCCCAATCCAATCCATCTGCATTTCCCTCTTCTGCATATATGTTGAGCGATAGGTTGTTGGTTGGTTTGTTGCCACGTCAGAATTTCTTGTTGCTTATTCTTATTATTCTGGCCATCTCATCTGATCTTCAGTATCGAGTGAGCTAGAGTAGGTGGCAGCTGTTGACGAATGTCTGTAGTTTGTTGGAAATGCTTTTCGTGACACGCCAAGTTTCTAAACCACCACGTAGAAGCACTGACTTGACTGATATTCGTGTTGAAAATCCGGAAGTTGTTCACGCTTCATGCCGAGTGGAGTGGAGTGCGATAGATCTCCACACTGATTTCAGATTAATGAAAGCAGGCCAGTCTTGTTGTCTTTCTGATAGTGGTTTTCACATCCTCGTGTGTGTCTTTGCCACCTGTTGTTGAAACGACGGTGCCTTGCCTATTAAGGTGGAAGCGACAACTTTTTTTAGGTTTATCCGTTCACGGTGATTGGTGCTTGTTGTTGTTTGTTGAATATCTTCATCACCTCTGTCTTCTTTACGTTCAGCTGAAGTGACGCCTTTGAAGTTGGAAAGAAGTACGACAAGTTTGCTGCCTACTATCATGACCGATTATCTTCTGATTGTAGTCGACTGGATCATGCAGCGAACCGTGATGAGCGAGAAGATGGACATACACTGGCTAGACGGATGAAAACAGCCTAACAGATTTGGATTTCGCCAACTAAGACTATATCTATCAATGTCTTGTAGCACAAACTCGAAGATGTATAGGTAAAACTAAGAAGTTGAGAGAGGAGGCAGAGCAGCGAAGACAGAACCCTAACCTGAACAGCTGTTTCATTCTAGTATGAGATTCCTCAGCTTAAAATCAGTTAATAAACTTCTCGATAGAATTAATCTAGCATTCATCAGTGACTGGCTTCAAGAGATAATTCCCGACGTTTCAATAAGAAGTGGTGTTCAGTGGGTCCAACTAAGTCAAACATTAGGACATTTACTCAATTACAATGATGATGAATTCTTAAAAAAATAATATGAATAATCCATCAAATATACACGGTGTTCTACACAGATCTATCAGTCTTTACTTACTCTACTTACCAATACAGATTAATTTTCATGAAGCGGATCAATATACCCCATCCCACCCATCTTCATATAAACTAATGAATTTTCACTGTAATCACTAAACAACTTTCCATTTCCAAGAATGATAAAAACAATAAGAAAAACATATAACTTTAGTAGAAGATATATGGATGACATGTTTGTTATTTGCGACAAAAATGTAGACCTAGACGATGTGCTTCGTTCATTCAATGAATGTCATCAAGCCCTCAAGTTTACTATAGAGAAGGAATCAGAATCAACTATTCCTTTTCTTGATGTGCTTCTCACCCTATATCAGATCCATCTACAGAAAACCAACGTGGAACGGACAACTAACTAATTTTTATAGTTGGGTGCCCATCAACAGAAAAAGAAATCTTATTCACTCTCTTTACTATCGAATAAGAAATATCTGTAGTGACGACTGTATCCATGAAGAGCTATCCTTCTTAAAAAGCATACTTGTCGAAAATGGTTACCCTAGTCGTTTTATTGATAAAAATATGCGGGAAAGAAACACTAAACCAGTCATCCACTCGGTCTCAAAGAAAAGATTGTTTATGAGCCTAGAGTTTAAAAGAGACCTAGCATCGGATGTACTGAAGAATCGTCTTACCAGATCAATCAATAGGACTTTCTTCGCAGCAAGACTCCAGTTGACTTTTACCAGCCACAACCTATTCTCCACCTGCGTTACAGACAAGCTTCTTCGTTTGGCCGCCTCTACCAGTTCACCTGCTCTTATGGAGCAAGGTACATCGGCCGTAGCCAGAGAATGCTTTCTACACGTATACGAGAACATGTTCCTGCTTGGTTTTATAAAGGTGAAAGAAAGTCTGTTAGAAGTTCGATTCTAGAACATTTGATTGACTTCCATCACACAACAAATCCAGACGATGACTTTGAAATTATTTATCGAATTCGCCCAAACCTCCCACGTTCTCTTCGTTTTCAACTCCTTAAAACAGCGGAGGCCTTAGCTATTCATGAACTAAGACCTGATCTGTGTGTACAAAAGAAGTATGTGCAGTCACTGTCTTTATCATGGCCATAACATTTTCCCACCCCATTAGCTCCCCCTCCCACTTTGTTAATTTAACCCTTGTAACATAAGTATCCTTCCTTTATCACTATTATTGTTATTATAATCGCCTTCACTTTAATTAGTTTCTGGTGTTACTTCACTTAATTGTCTTAATCCTTTTAGAAAACATTGACTTCATCTTGTCCAATTTGTCTAATGCCATTACATAATACTTAATTGATTTACCATTTTCAACAGTTTTCTTTTTACCCTCTTCTGAGTTATATACTCTCTATGTACCATTCCATATATTACATAATCTATTTGTTATCATTCGCATTTCAATTGTTATTATAATCACAAATGTCTATGTCATCATCCGCTCTATGATTATGCTGATCATCATCATATAGTGGTTAGTTTTCCTAACGGGATATAATTTTTTCCAAATATCATATATATTTAATATATATATATATACGATTGTACAGCTTGAAAATAAATTCATTGAAAAGAGCCTCTTCGCTGAATATCTTTTTGATATAAACTTTAATCCAAATAAAAAATAGGGTTTATTCTAGTAAATAAAACAAAATAAGTAAATACACTTGAGTTAGCAACAAGAAATTTCTCTGATAAGCTCAAATACATTTCATTCTGGAAATAGTAATTTTACATTGGTTAATCTTTGTGTTTGGTTAAAAGCATTTTATTTTCTTGTTATAAATACATCAAAATGAGATACTAAAGTTTAGGTTAACAGGGTTTAAATCATCTCATAGTGATAGAATGTTTCAATTATTATTCACTTGTGATATAATTGATACAGCAATATGTGAATGATGTAGTACATAAGAGCTAACACTTCCACCAGTGATTGCACGTTTAAAAAAGCCAAGATTACGCTTAAACATAATCACATTATCAATATTTTGTTCAGTAATAATTTTGATAATAGCTGGACCTGGTTTTGTATCAATTTGTATCATAGCTTCAGATGTTATTCCACGTTTATTTGCTTCATGTACTAATTGTTGACATAATAATCTACCTGTTTGCATATTTTTTTCTGTTACATAATAAGCTGATCCAGCTGGCATTAATTCACTTTCTTTTGATAGACCAGATAAAGCTGATGGAAGTATAGGTGAGAGGATATGCAAAAAAATGACCAAATCACCATCACGTTTCATGTTTTCAGCATACCAGATTATAGCTCGATTCGATTCTGAATCACCATCAACAGGGATGAGTATTTTTCGTAGAACTTTGTTCTCCTTCGATTTGACGATTCCAGGCATAATGAATAAGCAAGATGCTGCTCAGTTTGGACTATTTCGGTCTGACTATGTACATCCATTAACCTGTTTATATAATAAATGGTAGTCTGCTGTGATTGGTCGATATTCTAACTGTATTCTGATTGGTTAGAAGGCTATTTCTCATTTGGCAAATGAAACTACGTATTACACATTACTTTATCGTAAACAGCTGATTGGATTGTAAAAAAATAATTGATTATTCGTCAACTCATTCGTTAAAAGACTGAATGTTATTGGCCACTTGTATTGCTTATTCGTGAAATGAACGCGAATGACACTTTTGATCTATGTAGAGTCTGACTCGCCTTTCATTCTACACCTAACAACTAAGTTAATAATTTGCCATTATAACAAAGTGAGAAACTTCATATCCAAGGTTAATTGAAGGTTGACTTCGAATACTTAGACAAAACATCGGTGTTAACACTCTATTTTTGGTGCTTATTATGTTTGACAATCGGTCAAGTCAAGTTTTGTGGACTAGCAGAAGTCATACAATAGAGAGCTCAATTCATATTTTTCAGTCTAATTTGGAATGTTTTTAAGACGGGACATAATACACTTGACATTATTTTTTGAGTTGTTGGCACATGATAGGTGATAAATTGACTGATCAATGGTCAGTTTCAGCTTGAATATCTCACTGATAACTTCATTGTCTGCAACACTGGTTGACGCAGGTGTGAATCTCATAAGGGGAAACAGTTTCCTTGAGGTTGGAGACATGCCCAGCTGACGAGAGTCAACAAGCAAGAAACCTGAAAGAAGCAGGACTTCCTACCAATTGCTTCCAACTAAGCAACACAGTGATGGTGACCTTCGGTTTGAATTACTATATCCCTTGAAGGCATTTTAAAACTATTCCTATTAGATGGAATGATCTAAGAAGAAGGGGGAAGAATGCAACGACAGATCAGCAAACAAAACATGGTACTGGAAATGGATATTTTAGCTGTTTATGAAGAATCTCTTTGTGCAAACTACTAATAAAGGACTGGCAAACTGACTAACTATCTAAACTTTAGGTCATGTCCATCTGGATGACACAAAGTTATTGGCCTATACTAAATCTGTGGCCAACAACAGTAAAGGTTTCCTAAATAAACATTACTGAGACTGCAGCATAGCGTCGATGATATCTTTCAGGCGTTAACACATAGATGACTAACAGAAGACATCTTACAACATTATCTGTTGATATCCACGGGTCTAGTCAGAAGGTGTAGATGGAGTAGGACTCATATAGTGCGAATAAACCACTATGATGATGTTGTTTAGAACGATAATGAAAGCTTCATAATTAAACTGCTCGATTTGTAGAATGTAGCCCCATGGATATTAAACTGTATCATCATATTATCTGATTATGTAACACGTCACTTGGTTACAGTGATGCCATCAAGCAGAAATGACTAGAAGTATCCAAGTATTCGCGAAAGTCAATAATGACTGACGTAATCGGTCCAACGAACGATGGAATGAAAAAAGTTACGAAATCGAAACACTTCCCGATACTGTTTGAATCCCTTGGCAGCCTTATTTTTCCTAAGTCAAAGCATCATCATCTAGATACGCTGTGTACGGTCTGTGTCCCACAGGAGTATAAATTATGAGTAGAGATAGTGTGAAGACAGAATTCAAAAAATCTATAGTATTAAGATACAAGGAAGGCATATGAGAGATGTTGCGTAGGATTCTCAATAAGGCTGGCTGGGATTAAGGTGGCATTTAAGCATTCAAACTCACTTAGAAACAAGACTTACAGGTTAAAACATTCCACTGATCCAGCTAGGTAGGATAATTTGATTTATAAAATTCTTTATAAAGATTGAGAGATCAAATATACGGGTCAAAGTAATCGACCAGGATTAACTAGGCTATCTGAGAACGATAGCCTAGCTAGATCAAACTTAGTAGATCCTAGTAAGATAAGGATGCTGGAGAAAAAGCTCAGACATGATTGTGCATGCAATTACACACACCCAAACAATAGGATGGAACCGGGTGAAAAACCTTAAAACTAATACAACAACATGAAGGTGGAGATCGATAAATGAATCAACACATGCAAGAGGAATCACTCATCACTTGTTCTGGATGTATGGAAAATCTAACTACCCATATCACAAAGGGGGCAAGGAAATTAGGACTATATAAAGGATGTCTCAAAGTTATGCAGTTAACTTGACATGACTATAGACAATAACTTATGTCCGAAATGTATTCCAGTGAACAGTACTATTCCAAACTAGGTGATGAATTTAATAAATCAATAAAAATGGAGTTACATTCTACCACAAAGCCTAAGTTTTACTCTAATATTATCATATAATAGTCTGTGCTCAAATAGCCTAAATGACCCTGTTCAACTACTTTCAACTATGTATTTGACCTTGTAATCATTGTAAGGGATTTGGTAAACTAAATTATTCTACCTAATTGGAACAATACTGTTTCAACTACAGGCGGGACGGACGAGGACGTCAAAGTTAGAATCGGAAAAGCAAGACAGGCGTTCATTAGCCTGAAACCAGTGTGGAGATCTTCTGCACTCGGCATGTGGAACAAGATCCGGATTTTCAACACCAACGTCAAGTCAGTGCTCTTGTATGGTTCAGAGACTTGGCGCGTCACGAAAGGCATTTCCAATAAACTACAGACATTCATCAACAACTGCTTACGCTCGCTACTGGAGATCAGATGGCCAGAAAGAATAAGCAACAAGGAACTCACTTTGGGAACGAACCAACCAAGAACCTATCACCCAACAAATATGCAGGAAGAAGTGGAGATGGATTGGCCATGCACTGAGAAGGCCGACTGAGGACATCACGCGTCAGGCCAGTTGCTGGAGTGGAATCCCCATGGGAAGCGACGAGTTGGACGTCCGAGGCGAGGGTGACATGGAGGAGGTCGTGCGAGGAGGAAATGAGAGGTTATGGGCTGTCGTGGGACCAGGTTCAAAAGATCTCAGAGAACAGAGGTCACTGGAGGCGTGCTACTGAAGCCCTATGTTCCACTAGGAACCCAAGGGATTATTAATAAAAAAATAATAATAAAATTGGAACAATAGAATCTTTTACCTTGTAAAGTTTGTTTCTAAGTTACTTTATATGAAACATATCTCATTGTGATGAAGTTATCTTGATATGATTATATGTCTGTACCTCAATGGGTGATATTGTTCCCATTGACACTCGTAATAAATCCCAAAAGCGTGATCCAATAAACCAATGTGACAAGAGAATCATCTTTTGTGAAATGGGTATCCTATCACAGAGCACATAATTTACTCTTATATTATGATATATGTTTCTGTGAAGTTAATATATTTCATGGGCTTTCAGATTCTGCTGATGATGAATAATCAAAATAATTAATAGAAGGGATAGGAATTAGAGTCTTGCATACAAAACTTTAAGCGTTTTGTGATAATTCTATAGATATAGTATACGAAACATAACAAGTGAACTAGTCAACAAGTTGACAGAAGAGGCAGCGAAGACGGGAATTCAAGTGAATGTTTAGACAATAGAAGTGATGACGATACACAGCCAACAACAACAACAATCTCCAGCCACCATTAACGGGAGAAACTTTAAGGAAGTAGTCTCTTTCACCTATCTAGCTAGGCAGGGCAGCATTGTTTCAACTACAAGTGGCGGCACAGATAAGGCCGTCAAAGCAGCCAGGATCGGAAAGAGAGCAAGACAGGCGTTCATTAACCTGAAACCAGTGTGGAGATCTTCTGCACTCAGCGTAAAGCCTGAACAACATCCGGATTTTCAACACCAAAGTCAGTGAAGTCAGTGCTTCTATATGGTTGAGAAACTTGGCGTGTCACGAAAAGCACTTCCAACAGACTACAGACATTCATCAACAGCTGCGCACGCTCAATACTGAAGATCACATGGCCAGAAATAATAATCAACAAGGAACTCTGGCCTGGCAATGAACCAACCAACAATCTATTGCTCAACAAACATGAAGAAGAAGGAAGTGGAGATGGATTGGATTGGGCATACACAGAGAAGACTATTCGGTGACATCACGTGCCAGGTCAGGCTGTCGAGTGGAATCGAGAGGGGAAACGTCGAGTTCGGTGTCTGAGTTGAGGGTGACATGGAGGAGGTGGTGTGTGAGGAAGAAATGAGAGGTTGTGAGCAGTTGTGTAGCCAGGTTGGAAAGACTGCAGAGAAGAGAGTTGAATGGAGAGGTGCTGCTGAAGCCCTATGTTTTACTAGGAACCCAAGGGATAAATAATAAAATAATAGTATAGTCACTGGTGATTCATTGATTCAATCGTTAGGTCTTGTGTGCTTAGTACTGATCAAAGTTTGTCAAATTAGTTTAAAATATGACTGTTGAGATGATTAGAGTAACACTGAAGTGTATTCACTCTTGGTATTAGGGGTTGAGAGTTGATTTTCATGAAACTGTCAGTCTTTCATACGTGAATACTGGCACTTATAAGCAGAATGTGGATAGAACTATGAATGAACTCCTGTTGACTTTAAAATGTGTTGTGTAATACTGAAATTAGAGAAGTTTTCATGGAATCCAAATCCGTGCTCTCCCGTTAATTATGCTTCCAAATATCTGACGTGAAACAGAACCTCAAATCTTCAGGTTACATATATATATATATATATATATATATATATATATATATCACCCGGAGAGGGTGACCACTTTGTCCGATGTAGTGTTGACCACAGTTATTCCAGTTGATTTTGTGAATGATATTTGCTTAGTCTTCTTTGGTGCTGATGGTGTCACCTAGAAATATGATGAAAGCTTCACAAATAAACGAACCAGCTCAGAGAACACAATACAACTAAGACCATCCACCTGAGCTACAAATATTCTCCACTATTTCAGAATGAGAAAATGCTCTTAATGCGGTTAAGAGGGGATAATATACGTATACATCTGTGCCACTGATATCGCTTCTAAATAATATCACCTACAATCTCCAA